GCCCGGGGGGGGAGCGAACCCCACCGGCGGTTCCCGCTCAGCCCCGGCCCTGCCTCCCCGCAGCGCTGCCCACACGTTCAATCTCTGCAGCCCGTGTGGAGGAGCCGGTTTTTTTTTAACTCCAGGGTTTCTATTTTGGCCTCGCTGGGCCACCAATGAGAAACTTGCACTGAGCTGTTTTGGCTGAGGTTTTGTTTGTGTTTTTGGTTTGTGGTTTGTTTTTTCACTGCCTCTCTTGCTGGCTTTTCACGTTAGAAACATTATTTTTAACCTGCTGTTTAACTGAGGGCTTGGGGGGCAGTTCCTCTGGGCGGCAGTTTCTGCCGTGGCAGTTGTGGCACCTACAAGACTCTGCCTGCAGCATTTACTGCCCAAACAGCTCCCAAGTATCTTATCAATACAAATGAAGCTTCGAAACGAACCCAACCAGAGGAAAGATCATCTTCCTTTCAAGCCCCCGGGAGAGGATGAGGTGCACGGGTTAGAACATCTCTGCAGACTGCCCTGATGAAGTCAGGAAGGACACACATGAAGAGCAGTGACTTTCTTTAACAAGCATGACAAAGGTTACACAGGGACTCAGTGGCGTTTTCTTACCACCAGGCCACACGGAGTGTGCCCAGCTCATACCGAGAGACACAGCCAACTGTATGAGAAACAATTTGAACCGGAGAACACTTTGCAAACTAGATTTACCCACTGACAACTGCACATTCAGACCTCAGAGAACTAGACCAGCCTTCAGCTGGCCTTCAGCTGCACCCAGATCTTTTCATTTGAATTGACTCTCATTTTCATTACAAGCGATCTTAAACAATCACACTTTTTAGCCCATGACACCATTTGTCTGTTTTCAGCACCCGTGGCAGGAAGTTTTAAAAAACAAAGCCCAGGGACACACAGGTGGGGACGTGGTGCTGAGCCCTAAGCAGCAGATCACTGCTGTGCACACTGTGCGTGCTTTAAACGATCCCAGCTAATTCAATCTAGAAAAACCCAATAGGATAAGTGGCAAAATAGCCTTTTCCGAAGTCATACACAACACCTCTCAGGCCGAGGGAGAAAGGCTATTGAGGAGATGAGCACAGGAGCAGGCCTGAGAACACTAACCCGGTTCCTCGTTCATCTGTAGAACTGCACAGTGCCACTAGATGTCATGGTGGAACAGCAAGAGGAGCCCAAAATGTGGCCTTGCTGCTCTTGCTGGAATTGTAAAGCGCCTTTCAATTTGCCTCAGCACATCCGTGGTGTCTCCATATGGCTTTGATCCTGTGGATTTCAAAGCCCTGCACATTATGCACTGTTTAAACAACAAGCACGGGAAAGGTCTGCACAGTGATTTCTTCAAGGTTGTGGAGCTTTTTTCTTTTCTTTTTTTGGCTCCTCCACTGGAGCTTCTCTCCTAAGGCCACCCCAGGGCTTTGAAGGACTTGAGGCCGGCGGGCGATGCACACAGATGGTCTCTCTCACGCTCTCTTGGGATGAGTATCCCACTCTCTCACACTTGTGCCAAGCCCTCTTCAGTGCAACTCGGGTTCACTATTGCTTAGTTACACAACGTCCTTCTCCCTGGAGTCATAAGATTCCCTCCCCCAAGAAAGACTGTGTAGAAGAGGATTAGCAGCAGGTTCCCTTGACTCAACCCCCCCGCTGCCGCCAGGAGCCCTCCTGCTCAGCACCAGAGCTGCACACACCAAAACCCAGCAAAGCCAAGAACATCTTTCCCTGCTCCTTCCCTAATCTTTCCACCTCTACAGGTGCTCACTGCTCCCTGTGCATTCATCACCCATGGTGGTGCCTCTGGGCATCACTGGGAGCGCTGGGCTGGCAGGACCAGCCCTCAGCTGTGACATGTTTGGACATCCTGCTACTGCTCTAAGTAACCACAAGGGAGACATGGGCCATTCTTTGTCCTCAGAGCAAGTTTTCCAGATTGTATTGGCTTAGTTTTAATATCTGCCTTTTTGCAAGCTTCTGGCTGTGACTGAACCTCAGGATGGGCTCTTTTCTCCTTTTTTGGAGAAACCATGGTCTGTCTGTTTGGTCTTTGCTCCTGTTTTGGTTTTGGGGGGGTTTTTTTTGAGGCTTATGAATTTCTTTGCCCTCTTTGCATTTTAAGTTTCATTCCCCAACTCCTTCAACCAAGTTCTCAGTCATTTAAAATTATTATTAAACATCTCTTTACAGGCTCAATTTCCCCTTACCCAGTGATACAGTTGGAAAATCATACTTCAAACACCCAGTCCCCACCCAACCCACCAAAATAATGTTTCTGGCAATTTCAACCAACCCTGCACTTGTGTAAGGGTATTAGAAATAAGAGTTAGGAATAGTCAGAAACCTTAAATATTATACTTAATACACACACACAGATTTAAAGCTGTTAAGGCATTAAGCTTCAGGAAAATGGCAGGACTGGTGGAGAATAAAGATTGAATTAATCAAAATACAAGCCCAATATTCACCTAGGTTTAAACTAATTTACACTGCCTTACTTAGGCCTTTCAAAGAGTGTTTGAACATGGAGGAGACGATTTCAGAGGAGTAAGTCAAAGCCACACAGGAGAAGTCATTACTATCACACCAGGTTTTTAGCTGGCCTCATGGAAGTCCCTGTGTGAGACTTTGTAGGTGAATTAGGTTAAATTCAAAGCCCCACCTGATCAAGTCGGAGCCTGCATCACCCAACGGTTGCTTCGTCCCCACGGGAAGAAACATGCAGCACAGAGACTGACTCATCTCATCCTGGGGCAGGTTCCTAAGGACAGCACAGAGAAAGCATCCTCTGGAGACACCTCTTGTGCTCCACCTACAGCCAGAGGAAACGAGGTTTGAAACCAAAACTTCCAGGGTGGCAGGGGCCCTTCCTTCAGCTTCTCTTGTTCATAAGAAAAAGAAATCCTTCCAGTGAATTGCGCCTGCAGGGAACTCACCAGTTCTTTTTCTTTTGACCTTAAATCATGGCTCATTTCAGCAAACCACCAGGCAGGAATTGCATCCCTGATCATGGCACAGAGGACAGGTCTTAGGCACCTGGAACATCCCCGAATCACAGTGCAACCACCTATTTCATGGATTTGCAGCCCTGCTGAGCATTCTGAAGGGGTTGAGGGGAAGCTGAGTGCCTAAGAAAGAAATGTGTTCACAAACACCTGCACACCCAGATGCACACACCTGCAGCATGGAGTGAAATTTGATGGGAGGGCTGGAAAATGGCATTGATATGTGGGGGAGTGGTTTGGTATCTGCAGGGGAATGATCTGCTCGAGCAGGCAAATCCCTTTAGAAATCAGGCACAATGTGCAGATGTTTGTTGCTTTTTTTCATTTGTTATTTTAACATTGTTCCTATTTCTAGGATAAATAAATAATTTTGGAACAAACAAGTCAAAGAACTGGAATTTGAGGGGGGTGGTGCGTCAGCTCAGGGATTCATGGTTAAGAAGTCCAGTAGATTTTGATAACAACTGGAAATTGTTCAGTGGATTAGTGTCTAAAGCCAGTTTGGCTTCAAGTAATGACAAGCCTGAGCTGCAGTGCCATGGATCCAAACTTCTCCCCTGAGGCTTGTTGTTGCTTGTGTTGGAGTTGAGGGTATGGTCCCCAGGAATGAGCCCAGTCCCCTCTGAGCTCTAACCCAGAAAACTGAGCAGAGGAGCTTTTTCTGCAGATATCTGGCTGCATTTCTCTCTGCCCAGATCTGTACTCCCTCACTTTGTTCTCCTGAGCCATGAAACAGGCTCATCCTGGGGACATGAGTCAAATGTATGCAAGTTGCCCAGCTCCTTCCTTGGGCCATGTCCTATCTAGGCTTTTGGAGCCAATAAACTTCTGTGGATCTTGTCCTAGTCCATCTCCCACAAGAGCTGACTCTTGTGGAAAGTCCACATAGTGTTAACAAGATGATGGAGATGGTTCACCTGAAATTCCTAAGAAAAAAAAAATTGTTTTCCCAAGACAAGCTCAACTTTCTTCTTTAGAAGAAGCTGGCCCCATGCAGGAGACCAGATCAAGCTGTTTGGGTTCACCTTAGGTTGTGTTTTGGCCATCAAGGAGAAAGCCAAAAATACAAATCATAACTGGTTACACTTCAGGGCTGTGCCCTGTGCACCCTTCGTGGTCCTGAGACATGGCTGGTCAATTGGAAACTCTCCACTGCCTTGGATGGGCTTTCAATCAGACACTATACAATTCAACAGAGTAATTAGCAAAGCTGTAACTTAAGAGGTCTCCATGGAGATTGACAGCATCACCTCCCAGCTGGTACATTCTCTGCCTCCTATTCTAAATTTGTTCTCACTGTCTTCCTGGCTCTAATCCATAAGGTTTGCTAAATCTTCCAACATTTGTGATACACCAAAGCAGTGGAGAGGAGGACAAAGGCAGCTGGGAAGGGGCAGAGAAAGAAAGAAAGAAAGAACCCGGTGTCTTAAGGAAAGCAACAGAAACTCTGCAGACATATATAGCCAGAGTTTTGAGAATGGGATTAGGCAGAACAGCACCTCTGCCTGCCTGTCACTTGCAAATTCTTGTTAATACTTTAGGAGCTTATTGGAGGTCAGCACCAAACACCCAAACAGACTAATCTGTATTATAGACACATAATCAAAGTCACAAGGTTTTACATAATATATATTGGTGACACAAGAAGTGTTTGTTCAAATAATTTTGTCATCAAGATTAGTGGCCATGAAAGCCTCTACTGTGCACTAACCTGGTTTTCTATGGCCATTGGTGCACCAGATTCCTCAAAGAAATTGAGGTGCTGAGAAAGTACAAACCAAGTGTATGTTTTGAAAGTGTGTTGGGTTTCTAGCCATGGCAAAGGTTAAAAAAAAAAAGAGTGTGTGAGCTAGAAAGGGTTGTGCTTAAGCTGCAGCTTAAGGCCTGCACACAAATGGTTGTAGATATAATTTTTGTGTTTGTCATGGTTTTTTTCAGGCAGTTTTGGGGTTGGAGCAAACCACACCTCACACTCACACGTCACTTCTGCAGCAATGGCAAGAAGGAGGGATTTAAAAGACAAACTGATGTCACTTGACCCACTTGTGAGTTTTATAGTCCCCTTCAGGGAGGTGGAAGCTGTGGCACGGGTGGAGTAAGTTGTGTAGGCTCATGGACTAAGTCAGTGGCAGAGACAGGAAGGGGTCTTGTGTAGAAAACAACTCAATTTCAGCAAATCTAATTGATTTTAAAAGGAAACTAGTTTGTGGAAGTGCTTGGAAATGTATGGGGAAAGTCTGATTTTTCCACCCTGCAGAGCACTGTGACTACGGTGATGGAGAAATGCAGAAGAAAAACATGTAAAATTACAAGAGAAGGACAAAAGCAGAAGGAATTCAAGACCATTTTCTCTGTGATGGGAAGAGGCAAAGTCACAGCTCATGCTATGGGGGTTGCAGAGATGATTCAAAGATTTCCTAGGCACATAGGCCAGCTTGTTCTCATGGCTGGTGCACAGCAAAGCCAAGGGGTTTGTGAGGGGACCCCAGATCCTCACGTCTCACTGCAGTTCTCCCCACCCAGCTGAAGCACCTAATTAGGAATCTGATTGCCCTAAACTTCCCCACAGTCAGTGAAGAGAGAGCAAGAGCGATGCCAGCCTGACATCTGCAGAGGAGAAATCAGCACCTGGGAGGGCTGAATTGCCCTCTAGATTTGCCACAATTCACATGCTGCTGCCATGTGAACCCAGGGCTAGAATCACACCGGCAGCTTTTACAGGACGCCTGAAAGCTCCTTTGTGGAAGCAGAGCTGACTTAACTGGCCTTCAGGTCAAGAAAAATCAAACGCTGGGTGGGATTTCCAAGAGTGTGTGACTGTAACTTCCCCCCACTCCCCTTTGAAGTCAGCAGAATATTGACCACCACCTTCAACCGAGGAAAAATCAGGCCATTAGGGAGCGGGTGTGAAACACTGGCCTCTTAATGATTCTCTGATTCCTTTGTACCTTCCTGCTCACAGGTGGCCTGCTGTGTCTGTCCTTAAAACACAATCGTAGCAATGGGGTAGATAACACAATGAGCCCAACGTGCAGGCCCTGGAGGCACAGGAAAATGGTAACGATTAAACCATGTGAATCTCTTCACATCCCCTGCAATGGCTCTGCCAGACACCAGCACACCAGGCAATCCAGGACTGGTTGCCTTCAAAACTGCCACAGGGAACAAAGTGCTGCATCTCAGTGAACCCTGCCACGAGGTAGCCTGCAGGTGGACTCTTCACACTGCAAACAATAAAAGATCAGAATAAAAACGTGTGTGGAATTAGCTGAAATCAGAATGAGGGACGAGGAGAAGAAGCCATTAGATGCAGCCAAATGCTGCCAGGGCAGGCAGGGTTGGTCTGGTGCTCTGGAGAGAAGTAGATCACTGCTGCTCTGCAGACATCACTGGCACTTCTAGTGCAACACCTCTCGTGTTCAGGTCTGAATGCCAGGAGAGGAACACCCTGATTATACCAGAGCTGCATTTAGCCTTCCTGGGAGATCTCCAGCATCAGTGGCCAAAGAAGAGATGTGCTGTTTCTGGTGGCTGTCACCTGGGTCAGGCAATGCTGAGCACAGGAGGGTGAGCAGCCAGTGGTGAAAGAACACACAGGGCAAAGTGAAACAAAACCCTTCACCTCTTGAAAAGACTGATAATGTGGCCAATTGACCAGGTTGGAGCCTGCTTCTGGCAGAGGTCACATCTAGGCTGTGTGACAGCCAGGACTGCTAACAGCCAGCAAAGACAAATGGAGGCAATAACTCTTCAGTTAGAAAGAATTTTGTCCTAATTTAGATTTAAATTCCAAATAGACAGAATTGACGCTAAAAGGATTTCATTATATTTGCAGAAATGGAAATAGTTCCATTTTCTGAAAATTAATTATTGTTTATAGCAAAGTTTTGGATACCAAACCCTCAGAGGAGCTCTGGAACTTCCAGGTTGTCTGGAGAGGCCAATGCTCATCGCCTGATTAAAGCTCAGTCTCTGGGAGCTGCTCTGCATCTCCTGGAGAGGCTCCCAGCCACAGAAAAGACTTCTAAACTTAAACAGATTCAGTGGCTGGTTAAGTCTCACAGTGAAGCACAAAGGCAGCAGTTTTATCTCACCTTACAAACTCTCAGCTCAGGCCTCATCCACTGAAAAGTTCAGACACTTTCCAAAAGGATCAGCTCAGAGTGATGGGGAGATGGTACCTTCATACTGACGTCATGGGGAGTTAAGGTGTGCAGAACAAACCAGGAGAAACTGGGTTTTCAAGGGAGAAAGGTGATGGTTGGGGGGGGTTTAAATTAAACTACCACAGCAGGTTAAAACCTTACTGTTTGTATAAGTTGAATCAGATCACAAACCAAAGCAATGTGGCATTTCTCTATTGAATTAGCTTTTTGACAAGCAAATGGTGCCTGTGGGACTGGAAGCAGGGTCTTGGGACTCCAGCCTCTCATGGCTGTTGTGGTGTGATACTCAGCAAGTGCTCTCCTCCCAGCTTTATGCCTAAAACTAAATAAGGGAGGTTAAATTAGGGTCATTTGCAGACTGAAGTGAATCTGTACAATGGCTTTAATAATATTCATTACCCTCCCACAGCAGTTCGCTAGAAATAAATTAACTCACATTCCTGGAGAAACACCACCAGCTCTGGTGAAGGATGTGCCAAGCACTTAGCCTGAGAGTGCCCCAGGCCAGCATCTTGCTTTTCTTCTGAGCTTTCATTCAGATCTAACTGGAAGCAAACAGAAAAAATTGATCAACAACAAACATACTGGTTCAACGCTGAGGTTTTCATCCTGTAGCTGATATGACCCCAGCAGTGCTGCGAGACATGGGAACATCTCTATTTGCACAGCACAGATTTGAGGGAGAGTTTCCTAAAGAGCTGTTATTCAAGTTAGCCGTGCAACTAACCACTAGTTACTAAAACCTGCAGCAAAGTGAGGTGCTCATGCCTCTCTGCTGCAGCCATGGATCTGTGCAGCACAGATTTCTCCATGTCCAGCAGGCAGCTGTTTCCTGGTCCAGCCTGTGCACCATGCAGGTGGGTAACTGAGGGGGCCTAACATGGAAAGTGCTGGCCCTGCAATCACACCACTGGGGCTGTGATTTCTGTTCCTTGGCTTTCCAGCTTGCATTGCAGAGCTCCCTGGATCAAAGCTGAACTGATGGAGCAGGTCTCGCTCCACATGGAGGGTGACAGAGAACAGGGCTGGAAGGGACTTTGGGAAGGGACTTACACCCTCCTACTCTAAGGTAGCACAAACTCATCCCCAACATTTGACCTTTGCAGTTTTGACAGTCCCAAGATACCAACTCCATGGTCTCCATGAATTTATCTATGGGATAGCTAAGGCTTTGCCTCTGAAGGAGAGAGAGGAAGAGATGGGGCAGTTAAAGACAAGGCTCTGGGCCCAGCTTTTCCCTGTATCTCACTGATAACTGGTTGATTACCTTCCTTTGTACCCTCTTTGCCTCTTGCTGTGCTGTTCAGACAGAATAAACCTAGCAATAATGAACCATCATCACACTGGCAATTGCTTCCTGCCAAGCTTACGTTAGCAGAGAAAGAGAAAGCAAATGATGATTAGTCTTGTGTCTGCACTCAAAGATAAAACCCCTGAGCAGAAGCCATCTGCCAAGGCATAAAACAATAATTCTGGCACTACCCTTGTCTGAGAGCAGTGCCAGCAGCTCTCACTGCAACGCAGCATAACGCAGCCCTGGTGCTGAGTTCTAGCAGGTGGCCCATAACCCTGTAATCAACTCCCTGACATTATTGATTTTCCCCCCCAAACTGAGCCCTTGTCTAACGACATTAACTTCTGCTTACTGAGCATCTGGGTGTGAGGCAGGATGCACAGCAACAGCAGCTCATTTCACTGCTCTGAACGTGCTGCCAGCTCCTCAGCCCGTCCCTGCTCACTGGTACCTGCTCTGATGGGCTATTTCAGAGCTCAAAACCAGCCCTGGTTAGTTATGGGTGCTTACAGGGAACCTTAACCTTTCCCCTTAACTAGAAGGAAAGTGAAATATGCTTCCACCTTTAATTATGTGTATAAATGGCCCAGAAAACAGGACCCAGGGACACCACTAGCATCGCCTGCCTTCAGCCCAAGCCTGCTCCTCTTCATCTGCTTCCAAAGCACGTGGCCAGTGCAGCCTCTGCCTTTGCTTTGGTGTTCAGAGGTGCCTCATGTGATGCCAAAAAATCCTCCTCGCTTGGCCAACCTCACGGCCAGCATGAGACATGTGCTCTTCTAAGGCTTCCTGGCCATCCCCTGAGCAGCTCCTGCTGAGGCTCCTGGGAGCAGGACATCACTCAAAGGGGAAGACTTGGCCCTTTGCAGCCTGTACAAGCTAAAGCTGAGGTCTTGAGGCATCATCTGGACTTCTGTGTGGGTTTGGAAGCTACTGCTTGAGGCAAGTGGTTGGCAGCTGTGCTCCAAAAGGGATCTGGCCATGCCATTCCATCTCCAACGTCTGGCTATCAGCTGGAAGTGCAATAAGCTTTACAGCCAGAGTGGAACATCGTTACTTGCTAAATGAGACAGAGCTTTTTTTAAAGTACATTTCTGTTCAGGCATTACATTTTCATCTGTGCAGTGACAAGGAGCCTTGGGACCTTGACAAAGACCCTAATTCACAGCTGGTGTTGTGCTGGAGTACCCAGTCAGATCCTTTGAGGTCAGTGGGGCTACACTAATTTAAACCAGGCAAGAAAACAAGAAAACAGATCTCAATGAAACCCAGGAGATACTGAGAGCATTAGGCAGAGCTTGGCTGTGCTGGGACAACCAGGGTCCCTGCTGTCCCCAAGCCAACCTGGGGCAGCCTGGCTGGTGGTGTCT